CAAAAAAATGCGGATAACGAATATGTTCGTTCTTAGTAGATTTTTATTGGGGATTTTGCTTTTTGTTTTCAAAATTATTTCATTTTTATTTTATATAAATATTTATTTTCTCAAACTTAATTAAGTTATTTTTAATGATTCCATTGGAAACCCAATTCTCATTATAACCCCTTTGGCTAATATAAAAACGTTATTTTTCATCTGAATGGCATTTTGATTAATTTAATTTAAGAAAGTTATGCCTGCACTTTTTCAGTTTGGACGCAGTCGTTTCACATCCGAGCATCATAACTAACATTTTTTTTTTTTTTCATTTACAAAATATAATTTATGTATGACGGATGCGTGCATGTCCGAGCATGCATATGTAATAATCGTACCTTAATTGATTTGTAAGTTATGAGAGCGAATATGTTTATATTGTATGGCATTTTTTATTTTTCTCTTTGGAGCTTCTTGGCATAATAATTTTGTCGATTCGTTTGTAACACTTGGAAATATATGTTAGAGACTTAAATGGCCAGTCACTGAGAATTTCCCCCTCAGACATGAGCACGATGATGGTCAGATGGTCGAAAGAAGTAGGTAAAGGAGGATAGGTTATAGCCACTGCCCGATAAATAAATGTCATGTCTTCATCGGCCACAGGGCAATCGTAATTTTAAAATATGCTCTACCGCAGTGAAAACAAAGCTCAGGTATTCTGACATGATAGCCGCACTCCTTACGTATCAGGCAAGTTCCTTCCATTTGACCCGCGGCTTGCTAAGCTTCTTAAAATTCCAAACATTAAGATGAAAACTAAAATCTTTATACCTATGTCGGTGCATAGATGCCGTATGTCCAAATTGATCCTAAAATTATGAACGAGAAAAAAATTGAACAAACGGAAACAACAAAAAGATTTTATTCGACTTGGCTTAACTCTTAGATATTCAGTGCTTTAATGGATTGTGTGAATACCGGAAAATCATATAATTTTCTTACCGTAGTGCGTAGCATTAATTGATTGATAAAAAATATTTTTATCGCTTATGTTTCTATTGTAAGTAGTTGTAGATATTTATAGGCGGTTGGGGTTCATTTTAAAACTTGTTCAGAAGAGTAAACAAATAATTTCAAACAGTTCGATCAAAAATTTATTTAAGATTAGGGTATGAACCGTCAAAACGTCGAAAACGGAGTGAATGTCGAAAAGAAAAGCACTCCGTGTCTCAGGAAATTCGAACGACTTTTATTGTAATTAAAGATCGATCATAGCTAAGTGAAGGTAACTCTTAGAAAGTAAATGATCTACATCACTAGTGAGGCAGACTTCGCTTGTTCGCTTCACGTTTTGTGAAGGACACCCGAGTAATACTTTTACTTATGCAATTTTTGCTTCTGAAGCAGTAATATATCGAGAATAGATGAATATTTTTTTTTTAACTTCTTTTATACTTGAAAAGTAAACAAACTTTACATAATTATACATGTGTGGGTAATAATTTTCTTGAAATGTTGACACAAATGTCAACTTTTATTTATAACACGACATGTAAAATATTTCACACAACTACAAGAAAAAGAAATTTCTGCTAAAGTCATCTGCAAAATTCTATATAAATTTAATATTTAATATGTTTATATGTTCTAAGGGTTGACTATTTATTTATAAGGGTTACAACTGCCACGACTAACGTAGCGCATATGTCGTTCGACGGTAAGAGTAGGGAACACAGTTTTTTTTTTTTTTTTTGTATCTTATTTATATTAATGAAAAATTGTTGTTGTATTTTGATGCGACATTCGATAACAGTTACATACTTAATATCGTTATACCGTTGCACATAAATTAAATCAAATATTTAAACATCTCACTTTTGTTATAATTGCTTTACATTATGAGAAACGAATTAAAACTAAATCTCAATGAAATGAAAAGTTTTATTTATAATTAAAAAACATTTTTTATTTTTTTTTGTTTTTTTCTTATTTGCTAATTAAAGCAATTTAACTGATAATATGCAACGCAACGATGAAATTATTCCTTCACCCATAAGCTAGTCATGGAAATGGTTCAGTAAATATAATAAAAATATGAGCGACTGTACATAGATAAGAGTATAAGCTTTAATGTGTTTTATCATTCATACATATACATATATATATATATATATATATATATATATATATATAGATATATGTATATATATACACATACATATACTTGCGCAACTTCTTTATACTTAAGAAAATGAAAGAACTAAAAATCTGATTAATACCAAGAGAATTCGTTTAAATCTGTTTAAGCAATCAGTCTGGAAAAATTCCTGGAAATATATTTTCATTTATATATGCGAATAAGTATAAGCGCTTAATCGAGTTAGATTTAAATTACTTTCTTTAAAAACTAAGCCACCGAGAACCTTTTCTTTGTTCATTTGTTCATATATATATCAAAGTTAGATGATAAAGAAACAAATTTCTCTGCCGCACTTGGAGTTTATATTATAAAATTACTTGGAACGAGATAGGAATTGCCTTAAAAATGAAGCGATGAAATTATTTAAAAAATTCTAAAATTTAATGACATCAATGCGGAAAGCATCCAACGCTTCCAAAAGAGCGTGTCAAGTAAATGTTATAGCTGAAGCAAGCAAAATGTAACTAAGCCGTCCTTTCGCAGTGATATATATATATATATATATATATAATTTAATATCATACAACTTGATTGACACACTGTTGAAATGTTGAAATCTTTCCATTATAATTATATTAAAAATGAAATACAGAGAACAATAAGCGTCGAAAACGATCACTATTTTGAAAAGAAATAGAAAAAGAATTCTATCTGACATTCTCGGCACTTTCTAGCAACAATATCAAACACTGTGAGAAACTCTGAGAACCATATTTAACAAGTGAGAACACCGCTATGGCGTCTATTTGCCAATTGTTAGATATTCATAAACGTAACCTTCATTTCATTAATTTCTGACAAAGCAAAAATATCTTTAGCAATCGAGTAATCAAATGAAGAACAACATCTTTTTTAAGCCTAACTTGCGATAAATGCAAGCTGTATACGCAGCTATCTTATAAAGTGCAAAACTTTCAAGCCCTAATCGTATCCTTCGAAATGAGAATAATCGTAAAGTAAAAAGAAATTTCATATTTTTTTTGACAATGAACACGCGCTTTGTCTCATTTCAACTTATATTTCAACATTTTTCTCATATTTCAGGCGCGAAGCAGTACATGACGTTGTTAACATCATTTGCATTTTAAGCGAATTTTTTTAATCGAAATGCATATAAAGCCAAAGGATTTCTCTATTCGTGTTAGCGGCAATATATACCACAATTACTAAATATCCGCAATTAGGTAAAAGTTTTGAATCGTGTATAAATATTAGAATTAATCTAAGCATCTTAAAGCGTTTTCCACGCCAAAACGATATCGCTTGTAAGGAGCAAAGCGAATAATGACATTTTGCGGATATGTTTAAGCTGCGTCAAGGTGCCAAGATATCCTAGACAAATGTAGATGCCTACGCCATTTGAGGATAACGGTGTAACCATTACTCGCGCGCATAAAGAATCAGATTATTGAAAGCGGACTTTTATCAAAGCTAGCATTAATGATAAAACTACAAGCGAGAGTTTGTAGATGTATTCAATTCTTCAAAACGTTTACAATATCCAGCAGAAAGCTTTAAACACCATAAAGAACCATATAAAGTATATAAATTTCTGAATCGACATAGTCCCCATTGACTATCCATGTCTGTTTGCCTTCAGTCCAAATCGAAAAAGTTCGGCTTCAAATTTAGCAAAAATATTGCAAATATGATATGGGAAACGATCAAAAGGCCTACAATGCCTACAATGCTATATATATAGATTCAGAATACCTGCACTTTTCCCTTATTATTATAGTCTATAGATGATGTTACAATGTCTGTACTAGAATGGTGAGTATTGGCAACGTCCACACAATACTATAAATTATTGAAATTTCCTTTTTTCGATAAGCATAAAAGCTGCGTCTAATAACACACTTCCTAATACACAAAAAACAAAAACAACTGTTCGTACAGTTCAAGCACACATTTATGTACACTTAATTGTGCCTTCGGTACGTATGAGTTACAAATTTGTATAAATCGAATATGCATCCAACTATGCAAGCGATTAGTATAAAAATGTGCGCAATATATCACTCATACGTCATGACATGCAACGTAACAGAGATTGAAATCTTTAAAACAATACATGTATTTGATATCTACTGTTAAGACGGTAAGAAGATATCTTAAATTCGTTCCAAGTGGACGCAGATTTTGCGTTCATCTCTCTTTTGATATATTCATTAATTATTTCTATGAAAAGTGTGTTAAAATTTAATTGAAATTATAATTACTTGAAATGATGCCGAGGTACTTGGGTGTTGCTGCTTTTTGCTTACGTTGAATAACCGCAAATCTTTTTATTATATAAAAAATATTATGTTCTCTTTGTGAAAAATATATATAAGCTTTTTGTAAGTTTTTTAAAAGAGAATACAAATCAACATCCTTAGCAGCACAACCCTTTATATTGCTTTCTATATTCTTCATCGTAGGAACGAGTATAGTAAGTTTCTCGTTTTGTTTGTAAAACGTAGAGATATCCAACGAAAAAAAAACGAATTTTCAATTATGTTGCTTCCATTTAATGTGAGTTTGCATTAAATTTAAATCCAATACAGAAACAATAATTACAAAATTATAAGTTAATCAACGAGCATGACAAGTGATATTTATTGAAGAATTGTGAGAATCGTGTTAGCATGTAATCGCGCTTATGAGCGATAGGTCTCATTATGCATATCAATTATTTTTAACTCAATTTAAGCTTAATTCCTATTAGATCGACAACATAGACGAGATGGGTGTCCATCGTTCGAGCTAACGCAATAAAAGTGACGAAAGCTTCCTTTTACTGTTATTTTATTCTCTTTCACATACAACTTACCTGGTTTATATTTCCCTGAAATCTATTAACAATTATTAAAAGTAAATGAGAAAAAGAAAATATATAGCAATAAGCCGCAAAGAGTGGATGTAGAAGAAATTTGAATTATAGAAAAAAAAAAAATAAATAAATAAAGAAAGAAAAGAAAAGAAAAACAAATTTTATAAAATTTTCCTTTTCACCTCGTTGATATCCTTCTTTTCATTATTCTTGTTATTTTAAATACATTTCATTAAGACTTACCTTGGTTGCTTTGAAGCCTAAGGTCAGATTCGCCTCAACACATTGTATAACAACATTTAAAATTATACCCAACAGCGGCCCAACAAGCTGTGTATGCATTTTCTGTCTTGAAAAAGAAAAAGAAAAGAAATCAAAGAGGAATGAGACAAAAAACATATATAAGTGGCAAGATACGTAGGGGAAGGGATTCAAGAAAGAGGCATAATTTTTTTTTCTTTTTCCATAAGTAGCTCGCATTAAGGTACTTATACTTAGAAAAGGAAAGACTGAAAATGGTTAGCATGGTATACTTGGTACTTGCGATTTGTTTTGTATTTCAATGCCCATGTCCGCTTACTAATGCCATTTTTACCACACATATACACATTTATACTGACAAATAATTGTAAGTAGAAAACTTAATGCTTAAATGTTATTTTGCCTATTAAAATAAGAATGATTGTAAGTATATTTACGTTTATTAATTGTAAGCTGCAGAAGTAAATTGCAAAGAAAGTTTGATTTCAAACTATATCCGCCAATATAGTGTGTAAGTAAAGGAATTTCATCACACCTTCTATAACATTTTGATTAAGTGCCAAAAACGCATTTTGTTTGTATACACGCATATATATGTGTTTTCTATGTGACATTGTGAGTGATGGCTTAGTGACCCTCGAATGCTCTCTTATCGTCCGTCACCTCACTTTCATAGTTGAATAAATGGGTTTTTTGATCACCCATTACCGAACAGACGTTAATCACAAAATTGTGTACAACGTCTACAGAAAATAATAACAATCGCAAAAAAAACCGAAAATTCCAAAAAATTGTTTCAAACAATACGACAGTTTCCATAGCATAGTTTACAACTAAACTTAAAATTTTTAAATCTTTCGAAAAGGAAAAAAAAAAAATGATAAAGTTTGCGAAGCATGGTTTAGTTTCACATATATATACACTTAAAATTATTTTCAAGATCAAATAGACTTAAGTAAGCTAAGCAAACGAAATCATTAAGTACAACACGGATCTTGTGAGGCAGACTGACTTGCGGTGAATATATTCATTTTCTTGGCGTAATTACTTTGAATTATCTGGTTTCAAGTCTCGCTACAACAAAATATTATATCCTTAATAACCTTGAGCCATAATATATGGCTTTTTATTGTCTACCCTTCTCATGAATAGTTGCCCACGTGATTTTTCACTTCTTGATAGGCCGAAAAGAACGGAGGCAAGCAAAATGAACGAAACTAAATTTGATCTATGGAAAAAACAACATCCTACAAATAGCAACACTGTAGAAGTTCGATCTTAGGAAACCTTAAGGTGCAGCACGTGATCACATAAAAATTAATCGCAATATAAATGGCAAACAAAGCTTGCTAAAAGTGACACAATCGCGTCCGCGTGATAACACAACAGAAACGTATTTTAAAAATACATTTCATTTCTTACATACGGATGATTCGGAAAGTTGAAGACCTAGGTGGAATGTTTTGATCAAATAGTAATCACCTTAGGATGCTTATCTCTCCGCCTTTGAAATATTTTACAAATGTGTATACTCCAAGTGTATGCGGCGGCACCATACACCTACTTGTAATTGATTTAATCCTCAATAATCTATATATAATATTTTCATTTTTGCGATTAATTTGCATATACGGACGGACATCACTGAATTGACTTTAATATGCTAATAAACGATGTATGTACTTTAAGTACATGGAAGAGCAAAATAAGACGAAAGTTACAAGGCCAGAATTCAGTGACAGTAACAAGACATAACTTTTCAAATTTTTGTATTGATAAAGACTATAGATCTGAAGGCTTTCAAAAAAATAGTGATAGAAACCTACCTGTCACGATCAGTTCTTTCGAAATTGCAAGCATAAATAAATTTCACGTTGATGTTTATTTCACTTGCCTATAAGCTATCGTTCTGTTTATATCAAAGTATACGGAGAGATGGATGGGTCATATCATGACCGTACACTTTATTTTGCTTCAATGTGGAATGAAATGTAACTGAAACCATGGCTTCGACATCTAATGCAATAAGCTATAAATCAGTTAGAAATTAGTTTCCGCGATTAGGTGCCATATATTTAAATCTTGAAGATGATAAATTTTCTTATCCGTCGTTCCGTGTCCGGCAAAACCGACCTAGCGAGTGACCTGGTTGTGGTATTAGTCAGTAAGCCTTTATTTTTGATGCAGTCATATATAGCAGATCAGCGGCTCACAAAAGTTGAAGCTATACGAAAATCGATCACAGACTATTTCGTCTCGAAAACATGATCTTCCTACCGCAGGCCATTCGCAAGCAACCCGATAAGAGTTGAAGGACGATAGATGATAATGCTAAATATTTCGTCCATAAAGCTTTGTAACAAGTACTCTTTTAAATACAAACTTTATCAAAATGCACAAGGAATTAATTTGTGCACTTAATATTTTCTACTTCTCTTGTTGATCGTAATTTTTTTTCACAGTAAAAACCTTTGGATATAGGAATACAGCAGAACGTCCGTTGTATAGAACATATATTCGAAGTGCCGAAGAAGATAATTAAAAAGTTCGATTTTTTATTGAAGCGGAATGGAAAATACACCAGCCCAGTCGGCGACTGAACCATTTGAGCGGTCTACAGATATGCATAAGATTAAAATATAATCCACATCTTCCCTGAAGACACTCGACCACACACACTGAATACTTCAGATGGCGATGAGTGACGAGAGCTCATTCAATGCCAACTCGTTCGAAAATATGAGTAATCTGCGTTGCGCTATGCTTATGTCCAGGTCTACGATGGGCTGTGTTCTTAGCAGATCGAAAAGATCTGTCGACTAAGCCTTTTAATAGTAAAAACTTGGCTTTCCCATCGTTCTTGCCACATCCGTTTTGCTTGCATGCGTCCGTTCGTTCGTTAACCATGCCGTCTCCTTTGATACAATCTGTCTACAATGAACTATCTTGTCGTTCTAGATGTCGCAAGTTTCAAGTGAAACATAAAACAAAAATGCCTCGCTCTCTTCTCACTCATCTCATTATAATTCTTTCAAACAATTACGGCATTTTATCTAAGTGGCTGCCCACACATGTGCAAAAAAACTATATTTTACCAGTAAAGAACCAGTAGAAAATCTCTGCGATCGTGGTTATCAGAATGATCCCTAGGAATGGTTAAACTCTTTTCTTGTTCGAATAACTTATACTGGAAGCCGGCACTTTCTCAACCGATGTTCAAAAGTTTGATCGATGGAGCAATCGTAACCATTTTGGGAATCAATTTGCTATTTCGGAGAATATTTCTAAGAATTCGCAATTTATTCACCAAAATGTAGTGAAATTCTCTTTTTATACCCTACACCACTTGTAGTGCGGGGTATATTAGATTTGCGCGAACGGCACGTAACACCCAGCACGGCTTTAGAGAGACTCATCTTTTGTTGTACCGGCCGACCTCAGACTCATTTTCTGTATCTATCCAAGCTATCTGACCACGTATTGTTTTATTCAATCTACAGGTCGCAGTTATTGACATATTTTGATGACATTTGGTACAATGACGGGTATTGACCCAAGAACGATCCAACATTTGGGGGATATTACGCCTTATTGTGATAAGTCGTCGAGACAAATTGCAACATTCCAAATGTTCCAACAAGACTCGCTGAGTTTTAGTACTTCGACCGCAGCTGAAAATTAGTTCGTAGCGCTACATTGACAGCAAACCCTTCAATTTCTAAAATTTTACGCTAAAAAGTAGTTCATAGTAGAAATTTAGCAAAGCAATCGCCACAAGGGCGATTTGGGTCACATAGGACTATTTTTTTTAGACCCCCACCAATCATTGGGGTCCTCCTGAGAAGCAGGCCCTTATATGGAGAGAAAATCTAATATTTAGTTTTATATGAGGGAAACTGAAAAACAATAGGGTTTTCCCGATGTCAATTAAGTTCGCTAAATTTGAATGATCAGCTCGTGTAACGTGTTGAAAACATTCAATATTCGGTCTTTGTGCCATTCGTTGTACATTATTTTCAAAACGAGTGAATAGCTGTACCAGTTGAAGTGGTGTTACTTTAATTTTTCGCGTTTTGTGAAAGCGTTTGCGGGTGAATTGTGTTCACTTTTTTTTTAGATTGATCGTTTAAATTGACTCAAAAATAGATGTGCAAAGTCTCAATTCGTATCGTAGCGTAAGCGTTGACGCCATTCGTTGTTCCACAAGGGATTTTGTGAATTTAACTCGAACACGCCGATATATATAAAATATCGGTAGATATAATGTTAGATAGAATGTTTTAGTTGCAAATGCATTATAACTTTGATGCTTTCATATGAAATGCAGTTAAATTACAGTGAGATTTGCTTTTATTCTCTAAACGTAATGCTGATGAATAATAATGAATTAAGAGACATCCTCATTAAATTGTTTTACTAAGCTTGTGTAAATGAACATTTTAACGCACTACTTTCACAAATTATAAACAGTACATAATTACATTGCTGTATTCAATTTATTTATCATTTGCACCCTATCGCCCCGATTGAATGTACATACGTATAATTAAACTAAATAAAAATTTATGTAAAATTGAGAATTCGTTCGTCATAGAGTTAAACAAATGTAAAATTCAACGAAACTAAATAAACAATAATGACAATAACGAATGCTGTCTGTCTAACTCGAAATTGCTATTGAAATCGTATAAAAACATTGAACAAAATGCAAACAAGCGAATATAAAAACAATTGTAACAACTGTAACTGCGACAAACTGAAAACGGCAATATCTACATCATTACAGAATGTAATAGAGGCGAACAAGTGCTCTTTGTAAAGCGGAAAATGTGAAATGGCTTTAAAATAAAAAGGAAAAAAGAAAAAAAAAAAATGAGTAAAAAAAAAAAAAAAAAGAAAAAAAAGAAGAAGAACAACAACAACAACAACAATAATAATAGTAAAACAACATTGACGATGTTTCATTAAAATGCAAATGTCACATGCGAATGTACAAAACACTGCACATACAAAATACGAATATGTAGGGGCAGAGGTAGTTGCTTAAAAGGTTAAAATATAACAACAACAACAAGAACAATAACAACA